CCGATTCAGTGACGAATTGGATTAATGACCGATTCAATGACTAAATCAATAATTAATTTTAAAATAAAATATCACTATATTTAGTCACTAAAATTTTTCTTTTTTAATAAACATGTTATTATATATATATATATATATATATATATATATATATATTTGGTATAAATAGATCACACCAAAATTAATTTAAATATTATTAAAATTAGACAATTCTCCACATGATAACTAGACTTTTATATATTAAAAATTCAAAATAAACATAAAAATACATTAAAATAAAATTAAATAAATACAACAAATATTTAATTTTTATTTTAAAAGATTACAAATATATCTTCCCACGTTTATTGTTTGGTCAAATTGCTTGTGCACAATAAAAGTTGATGATAAAATTAATTCTTTTTCTTCATCTTTACTAAATCGCATTATCTTTTTTTATCCCTGGAAACTCAAATATGGTTAGTACAACATTAAAAAAAAAAGAATAAATAAATGCATATCTTAGTAAAACTATAAAAACTATTTTAATTATATGTTAGGCTAACAATAACTAGTGCACATGAGAGCATAACTTTTTTAAAATTACAATATTTTATAATTCTCTACTATTAATTATTTTCTTTTTAAAATTTACTTATTTCATTATTTTAATTTTATATTTAAAGATATTAATTATATATATACTCAATTAATCAACATAATAAACTATTTTTCTAACACGTTCTCTTAATCATATTCTATCTAAATCGTAAATTTATCTCATCATATATTAAGTAAATTAAGTGAATGTGAACAAGTGTCATTTTCACAACAATCTATTACTTCTTCACTACTTTCTCAAACATGCTTATCTCCTATGTATGGTACATAACCCAGTTGCAACTTTGAGATGATATTTAATATTGTAAAAATTATCAATAATAAAGTCAAGAAATGAAAAACATTTATACATAAGTTAATTTACAAAAATGCTCTCATAATTTTCTAAAAATTTTACTTTAATTATATAAAACTAATATTTGGTTCATAAACAAATTTATACTTTTTTTTTTCTTACAAAGAAAATCTTCTAAACATGTTAATAAACTTATATAAATGTAATAAGTATATGATTAGAGAAAAGCTCTAGGTGAGTTATGATTAACACTAACAAGAGTTATCATTATCAACCTTGCTTTCAATGAACCTTATCAAGCAATCCACACCACATAGATTATTACATATAAACAGAGTTCTAAATAACTAAGAAAAACACCTAACTTGACTTAAATGAACTTAACATAAATCTAGCTTTTCTTATCATGTGAAACTCTACCTCAAGTTGAATATGAATTAGAATAACTTGAACTAGTTTCATATCTTTTGCTTTTCATTTAGTTTCATAAAAGGAAAATGATCTTGAACTTAGTTTCTTTTTTAATTACTTTTTGTCCTTTTTAAAACATCGAACCTAAATTTTCCTAATCTCAACCACTATATATATCAATCAAAAGCAAACATAAAAAGCATTTTACACTTTTACTTTTTTTTTTCTCATGATAATTTTTTCAAAGAACAAACCCACCTCATCCTTCATTAATAGCTCCATTAACACACCTTTTTCCAATCACACAAAACAGTCACTATTTAAACACAGTACTTACTTGTCCTCCAAGTAAAAAATGGCAACTTTCAATCAATTATATATGAACTCACAAATTCCAAAATGATCTTGAACTTACAAACATATGAATGTGTAAATTTACACTCCTCAAAAACTTGTTTGCAAATCGTACCACAAATGAGAATGACAGAACCGACAAGCTTGTGAAGAAATTAACTAAAGCACTCAAATGAAAAGATAAAAGAAAATACAAGAGAATCGAGTCAATTAAAATGTCTAATACAATTATTATAACAAAAAGTGTTTTATCAATTTATACCAAATTAAAGATAATATTAAACCAAGTTTAAAATTATAAATTTGCATGAGTCCAAGTCAAAAAAAGTCTGATTTTGATTATCATAACAGATTTTTCAAATTTAATAATAAAAAAAAAGTTAACCCTTTGAGATATACAATACAACAGTAACAAGATAATGGTTAAGAGATTCATTACCTTTAGAGAAGGATGCTCCAATTATCTTTCCTTGAGTTTTATGATTCTACTGATATCTGCAACACCAAGAATGAAGATAACATTTCAGAGATGATCCATCTTATTGTGAAACCAACTTCTGTTCCATCTTCAAACATATATACACATACAAATCATGTAGAGTTCGTGCTAAATATCATACATATACCAAATTATATCGAACATATTGATGTCCCCAGAACGTTACCACACAGTGATTGCAATTTGATTATACATGAATCTGATATTGTAAAAAAGCAGCCAAAGATGAATGCATGTATTTTTGAAATGGAAGAAGAATAGAAGGTAAAGGCCGGTGGATAGCTTTGATTCTTAACTTAGAGACAAGTTAAAGTTAAGCTCGGTGAAATTTTGATTAGGAAACTCCATGTCCGCCCTCTTCCTCAAAGCAAGTGTATCCAAACAAGCCTCGGGGTCATGGCTTGCTTCAACAAACAGAGTGAAACAGATCAACAGCTACTAGGACTAAACGCGAATCCCTGTCCACACTCAGACAAAGAAAACCAAACCAGAACCACTAGCCACCATTTGACAAACCCCATTCAGAATTAACAACAACAAGCAAAGTCAAAATCAACAAAACTAAACCATCAGAAACACAACCCTTAATCTAAAATGCAATACACTACAAGAAAAATATCAAATAGTGACCGAAAATTCGATCACTAAATAATCAAAATCGGTCACTAACTAAAATAGTGACTGAAATAGTGACCAACTTGAATCGGTCACTATTTCCTTGGTGACCGATTCAGTGACCGATTCAGTGACCGAATCAGTGACCGAATCAGTGACCGAATCAGTGACCGATTCAGTGACCGATTCGATGATCGAATCGATGATCGATTCGATGACCGAATCAATGACCGAATCGGTGACCGATTTAGTGAGCGATTTTACTAAAAAAATCGTAAATAATGACTGAAAATTTAATTACTAAATAACTAAAATCAATCACTAATAAAAAGAATGTCCAAAATAGTGACTTGACCACCCTTTCTTTAGTCGCTAATTTTAGTGATCGATTCAATGACTAAATTGAAAATATAAAATTTATCTTTATATTGATCACTAATTTTATTTTTTATTTTATTATATACAACTTTTAAGATAATGATAAACCTAACTTAAGAAATATATAACCTATGTTATATAAAATTTATTAGAATACCACAATTTTGAAATAATCATCAAAATAATATTACAAATATTCATCAAAATTAAAGTACAAATATTCATCAAAATAAAACCATCAACCATTATATACAAAAATATAGAAAACTATATTGACAATAGTAGCAAAATTACAATTAGAAACACAAGAAGTTGAAACACTAAAGATGCTTGAAGATCTTTACAACCCGCACGAACTTGACAACTGTATTAAAAAGAAATGGATAATAATTAGAATCTGTATAAATAACAATCCCATAAATAATAATAAATAATCATAATAAGATGAAAAAATCACTTAAAAATTGTTAGTGAAGTTTTGAAGAAGTTTTGAAGTAAGCAAAATACTTTATATAATAAAAAAATAGCACAAATAAATACAAAAGTTCAAATGAGCAGGTATAATTGTCACAAGTACAAGGTCTTTCTTTTAGGGTATGGGAATGACATGTAAATTTTTAAACTATGAGGGATGTTTTTAACAGTAGAAAACTAACATAAGCCTTAGGACCAGGGTCCTTAATAATCCGGACATTACAAGTGCAAGTCAAAACCTTGTCCATGTACAAATCAATATTAAAATATATTAAAATACATTTTTATTAACATACAAATAATATATATATATATATATATATATAAAGGACTAAATAAATATTTAATTTAGTGATCGATTCGATGACTGGTGACTGATTCAGTAATCAATTCGGTGATCGATTCACTAACTGATTCAATAACTAATTTAATGATCAATTTTATTTTATTTTTATTCACATGCTAAATTGAAAAATAAAATCAAATAATTATATTACTAAATTATTTAACATGTCTAATAAGTTATTAAACTATATTTTAAAATATTTATAATATTATTAAAAATGTTATCAATTATTTTAAGTTATTAAGTAGATTTATATTTAATATATTATTAAAATATTTTTAATAAATATTTATATGAGTAAAAAATAGTCACCAATTTAGAGATTATTTTTTCATGACTGAAATTTTAGCCACTAAATCAGTTACTAAATATAAAAAGGAAAATCAATCACTGATAATAATAACTCGAATAAGTGACTAATTTTAAAACTTATAATTTCGATCATAATGAAGGAAAATGAGAAAACAAGTTTAAAACTTTTGTCTTATATTACTATTACATATGTTATAAATACAAATAATATAAAAATCATCAATTTTATATCAATTATTTAAATGATTATTATAAAAATATTTTTAAAATATCTTTTCAAATATATAATTTGATAATGATGCGAAAAGTCTTCCTATTGTATTAAGATGAATGAACAAAATAAAAATATTTATATTTGACATTGTGAAAATTTATAGACAAATATTTGTAATTAAAGTTAATGACAAAAACAATTTTAATATTTCATTGTAATTCAATTTTTGTTATACTAAAAATAGAATATCAATCCTTTATTCAAGTTTCAAGATTTAGTATAATTCTTTAAATTTAAAAGGTTTAACATTGATCACTTAAATTTGTTTTTTCAATCAAATTGGTCCTTTTTTCACTCTAATTTGATTAATTTGGCCACAAACTACTAAAATAAAATTTTATTTTGACCTTGAAACCCTCTTACACAACATTCATACATAGTTATTTCTCAAGGCAACAACATTTTATTGTGAAGGTGATAGAAGAGGCAAGAGGGTAGTTCTCTAGTCAAGGGATTCAAAAGGGTGTTTGTAGAGTTGGAGAACCTTCTTCCAAGAAGGCCTGTTGCTAATATCATCCCACCAAGCACTCACATGCTTCCTTTGTCTAACCATATACCCTTTCTTCATTTGATTCATCAAATAGTAAGTAAAAGGAAGATGGCTAAGGTCAGCAAGGCTGAAGAAATCTCCTGCCAAGTACTTTGTCTTGGATAGCCTCTCCTCGTAAATGTCAAGCACTTTTCCAAGCTTTTCTTCATCTTCTTCACTAGCCTTTGGGTCCGATGGTTCTCCAAATAATGCCGGAACCATAATATTCACCACCAAGTTGTAGATTGGTGGGTTATAGTTATGGCCTTCAACTTCAAGCCATTGCTCCACAAGTCCTCTCTCCTCTATTGTCTTCCCCAACAAATCAGTCCCTTGATTTTTGTACTTTTCTGAAAAATATCTCAGTATTGCCCGTGACTCTGCACAATCAACTAATCAAAATTAACTGCAGAATTACAGAAAATAAAATTAATAACTTTAAATATTTGAGACATTTTTTATCGAAAGGATTACATGTTATGTATCTTATAATAGAACAACGCAAGTCATTCCAAAACTTACCAATCTGCCACGTATTAAAATATTAAATAAAAAAGGAAAACGAAAATAATAAGATGACCAAAACACATTGGAAGGAAGGATAAAATAAAAAACACCTCATTTCGTAGGAATTAAAGGCTTTAAAAAATAAACTAAAGAAATCAAGGTCATTTACAAGGGTATACAAACAAAATGTGGAAATAAGGAAGGGGCTTACCATAAATAGTATAATCACCATCTTGAACAACAGGAAACAATCCAAATGGCTGCAAAATAGAATCAACAAACATCAAAATTCAAAAGTAGAATAAAACCTCATGTCATATTTTTTTTTTCTCCAATTATAAAGTGAACAAGGTTACTGTCTTCAAAGTAAGATTTGAATTTGTTACTGTGAGGATGAAAATGAAAACCTAAAAATGCATGAAGAAGAAAGAAATGAACCTGCAACTTGAGGTACTCAGGCTGCTTGTGCTCTTTCTTAAAGCCATCAACGTGCACTGTTTCAAACTCAACTTCCTTCTCTATCAAACACACTATCACCCTCTTAGTGGTAGCATAGTCTGGGCCATACACCTTCACAACCATTGTTATATGCAGAACAAAACAATATTAGAGGAGATTTGATTATGGAATAAAGCTTAACCCTGTTGCTTCTTATAGTGCCAAACTGAACAAGAACCAATAAAGCTTTAAAATAGCATTTATTGAATATTCATTGGGGTGATCAAAATATTAATATCATTAAATACAAACATCAGTTGTATAGGGTCACAGAATATTAATATTGATGTGAATTAAATATTAAATGATCAGTTTTGAATATTAATTCATAAAATATTAAATAAATATTTAATACAATTTAATAATGATATTAATGCTACATTAATATAATTAAATATTTTTGTTACTCCATCTTATCTTTATTATAAAAGTATGTCACGAAAAATTTAATTAATTAATCTAATTTTACTATTTTTTAATAATATTTTTTTATTTTTATTAATTATTAACATCTTATCTTTATTATAAAAGTATGTCACGAAAAATGTAATTAATTAATCTAATTTTACTATTTTTAATAATATTTTTTATTTTTATTAATTATTAAATCAAATAATAACAACACTCATAATTTATAAAAAGGAAATATAAAAAAATCTCTAACTCTTTGTTCTCAAAAAAAACAAAAAAAAAAAAAAAATATATATATATATATATATATATATATATATATATATATATATATATATATATATATATATATATATATAACATTCACTCTGAAAATAATTAATCCCTCTCGTAACAAATGTATAAATGTAAGTGTAGTTATCATTATACTTCATTGTTTTTTTTTTTTTTAATGTTTTGAGGACCCCAAGAATTATTAAATGATAGAGTTGACTTTTTTTCACGTTGGCACTAAAATATCCTCAAGTATTGTTTTATTTTTCATCTAACAATGGTGGTGAAGGTGTGAAAGTGGACCCAGGAAGGAAACTCTCCTAAAAATTTTTATTATATATAAATTATTTTTAAATATAAATAAAATTTAATTGTTATATTTTTTTCCTTCTTACAAAATATTAACAATCCTTATAATAAATATTATTTTTTATTCTTTCATATAATTTTTATTGACATTTTTTTATTATTTTATCTTCACATTTTTATATATATTTTTCTAATATTTTACTTTTCCTAATTTACACACTCATATTTTTACGTTCATTCTTCTACTTTTTCTTTTCGTTTATTAGTCTTCTAATTTTCACCTTATAATATAAAAATTATAAATTTTTTTCTTTAATTTGTCACATTTTCTCTTTTACTATTTCAACTAATAACTTTTTTTAATAGTTTTTTCTCTTCTATTCATAATAGAGAATTTAAATATTAGAAACAAAAAAGATAGAAATTAAAAAATAAAGAAAATATTTTATAATAATTTTTTGAAGCGAAGAATCAAATTAAATATATTTTTTAACTTTTATTCATTAACATGTGTATTGTTTATTATTAATTAGTTATTAATTTTTAATATTTTATTTTAATATTAAAATATAAAAAACTAAATAAATTGAGTTTTAGAAGTATTTAAACAATTATAAATAAAACATATGGTCCTCGATTCAAATTTCTAACTTCGCTCAAATGATGGTGTACGGTCCGACTGTGCTACCATTGAGCATATTGAAAAAGAAGTGGAGTTTGAATTACCGAGAATGTGATTGCATTTCAAGATGGATTCCAAGAAGTAAAAATAAGTGGATTTGAAAGAAAAAATATATAAAATTAGAGTTATTTAAATTAAGTGAAAGTTGTTTAATTGTAAGTGATGTAATTGATTTGATAAAATAAAAATAAAAATTTAATTGATAAAAATGTACTTTTATCTTAAATAAATATTTTAAAATAAGATATAATTAATGTAATAATATTAAAATTAGATATGATATTTTATTTAAAATATAAAGTTTATATATATATATATATATATATGAATTTATATTAAAACAAAATATATTATTGGTGGAAATTAATTTGAAATAAATTTTATATAACTTCTTTAAATAAAATAAAAGTGTAATTTTAATTAATGAAATTATTTTAAATTTAAAAATAGATTTTGATAAAATAAATTACAGAATAAATTCTAAAATTATATAAAAAAATTATAAATAATTCCAAAGTTGAAAGAAACAACTATTAAAATTTTTTGTCACAATTTGTCTGGTCATACATCATAATAAACATCAAAAGAACAATAAATAAATAAAATTAAAAAATTTATTAAAAAAGGTCTTAAAAGTCATCAAATCATTTCTCTAAATAATTAACTTTATTAGTAACCCTGTCAAAACCTATGCTAATCGTTAGGTTTAGATTAGCTACACTACCTTTCATCCTCTACATTCTTGCTTGTATATTTTGAATCCTCCTCCCCAATTTGTGATAACATTTGACTATCATGGGAGAGTGAACTTGGGTGGACTGGTTCATGGTGGACAAGGTTTTGTTGTCCAATATTGGTTGCATCATCATGAGGTATTGTAAGGTCTTCATCGTCATTATTTCATCTTCCTGGTTAACCCTCCATGTTGCCACTCATCGTTGATGTTGGCAATATTTAATTTGTTCAATGACTTTTTGCTAAAGTAATGAGTCCAACCCAACACAATGGAGAAATCCAACGTTAAGTCTATGTCATAGTTGTCGCCGCCATCAGAAGAGGCGGTCAGAGCGACGCGATGGTTTTGAATGACTCACATTTTTTAAAGAAGTGGTTCAACGCCTTTAGGTTGTTCGATAACCGGGCTGGACCTAAAGACGAGGTTTTTGAAAAAGTTCGAGGGAGTCGCCATCGATGTTTTTACCATAAACATCGAAAAAGGAAAAAAAGAGAAGAAGGCATTCGTTTTAGAAAAAACCAACTTTGGCCATTACAACCAGAGTGGGGTAAGGGAGTTAGTTACGTGTGGGGAAGGTGTTAGCATCCCACAACGCCCCTTTCGGGTTCCCTATGATGAAATATTTTAGGAAATAAATACTTAAAAGAAATTATGCTTTTACCCTATCATTCTATCTACTTGCAGAATTTAAATGTCTACATAGTCTTAATATCTACTGCATACAAAGAAAGCGATGAGGAAAGCAGTAAAAGAGAAAGAGAATAGGGAAGGAACCTCCCAAGCAAGCTTTATATTAACCCTTTCGAAACTTGAGATGCTTCTTCTCCATTCCTCATAGTCACTGGAGACAGACATTCGAGCTTTTCCAAGCTCTCTATTCCCATATAGACTGGTCTCTCCCATGCCCCTCGTATGGCAAGTGCATCCTCAAGATTGCAGGGGTCTCCAAAGAAACACAACCCTCCAAGCTCTTCTCGCAATGGTGTGGTTTGGGTCCTCATGAGTTGTCTTATAGCTATCTTTGGGGAGTAGGCTATGCAACCCCTGAGGCCGAACAGTGGAATGCTCGAGTAATCTCCGCATCAAATGAGAATAGGGTCGGGTCAGAACCAAGGACATGTCCATGATATGTGACCAATATTCCATTGTTCCAACTCGACTTTTCATTTCATAGTTAGACGACGACGGAGAGGGATATTCGGGAAGCTCCTCAAAGGATTGGGGAAAATTCCCATATGGCTTGAGGCATAGAAGTGAGTGATACCCCATACATACAGCAACGAAGAGCAACATCTAAGTGTTCTCCCTTGCTTCCGATGATAAAACTCTACCGAAAGCAAGGTGTTGACAAGAAGTGCAGGCAAGGGACTCTTTGAATGTACATCCCAGGCGAAAAAGGCGTTCATAGTGGCATGATCTACCGTATCGAGGTTAAAGGGAAATAATATGGTCCCAAACACAATCAAAGCTAGGGTTTTGTTAAGGAAAGACCAATTCGCCCTATCAGCCAAAGATGACAAATGGTCTTCTAGCAATGCAACCTTCCACCCTTGGATATTCCCTTTTCCCACCAGGGCAGCTGATGAGGTGGCAATTAGATGATGGTGGCAACCTTAGTTACAGGAATATACGCTTCGTGACGGATATGGACCCCGGCTGATTTGGTCCATCTTAGCATGATTTCATATTCCTCCAAAGTCGAGACCAGATCAAATTGCGGAAACTCAAAACAATGCAGACTGGAACTCCAAAAATGGATCAAAACCCTGACAAAGATAGGATCTACGCAAATCTTCAGAAGATTAAGAATCCGTCCGTAGGAATTTTCAAAGTCCAAGTGGACCTCAGGCAGCATTAATGTGCATAACCATTCTATCTTCTCCACACGATATCGTAGAATATCCACTTTCTTCAACTATCAATTACTAGGCCCCTCCATTATCTAGAAACAAAAAATGCATGTTATGAGTATGATGTTTAATGAGGGCATGCATGAAAGTATTTTGTTTCTCCTAAACATTATCATGTTTTATTTTCTACATGGTGCATGATAGTGTTTGGATTTTTGCTTTTTTTGTATATAGATATTTTTTATTTACAAAGGGGAAACTACCTATATGGATGTTATGGATTTGATACTTAACAACATGAAAAAGGGCCCATTTTCTCTTATTTATGTATTTGATATTTTTCTTTAATAACCCTTTATCTCTTTTGTCGGTCCACGTGGCTACTTAGCTTACAAAAAACCTGAAACCAAGCTAGCTAAAATGTAGACTGTCCAAGATAAAGGTGGTTATGCATTTTGATTTTTTTTTTATGGTGTTTTTGCTATTGTATGATTATTCTATGCTAATGTAATGCAACAACCATATGCACAAACAATTCACTCATCTACGAACCGAGTGACAACATTTTTATCACGACGTAGGGGTATCCTGCAGAAAAGTACGTTTTCAAGGTGGTTCTAATTGTTCTCACCAAGGTCAGGCCCCTAAGGTGCCCCCATTATAAGGTTCCCACTCTCTCAGCCCTCAGACCATGCATGGCACTAGGGCCTTGTCAGTATTTAGGCCAAAAGAGGAAGGTTATCACCTTGAGTGGTTGTTTCCGACCATACCGGTGGGCACAAGGCCATCACTACGGCAAATCGTATCTGCCACCCACTCCCTA